GAAAGACTACTAAAAGCAAAACATGACATCTTCATAGAAAGTAAAGCATCGCACATTAGGGGAGAGACTCCAGGATCTCAAGAAAAACTGTTTGCTTTCTCTCTGATTGTCTTTTTTCAGTAAAGGGCAGTTGGGGGAGGAAGAGAAAAAAGTGCTCAGCTGAGTCCTTTCTCACCTCCTCCAGGTAGTTGATGTCCCAGGCTCGAAGCTCACTGTCTGCAGAGCCCGTCAACAGCCTACTCTCCTGGCTCAGCAACACCATACCCCAAACCTAACATACACACACACATTTAAAACAAAAACATCAAGTCATCTTAATAATCTAGGAAAAACATTAAAATTCCAGTGGAAAGTCTCTTATAATCCCCATTTCCTTCCAGTGAAAGCAGCTAGTCACAAGAGCTCCACTATATGGACCAAAGTACTGCACAGTACACCTACAGGAACTGCTTGGCCATGGAAAATCCTGCCATCAAGCTCCCAGTTCACAGTTTTTGTCCTGAGGTTAATGCCAGAGCAGGTTTGGAACCACACTGTGCGCTGCAGCTTCAGTGTGGGTGATATTACCTCAAAATGCTATCACAAGATGTCAAGGAAATGTGCAATAATGATATTTCTGACACTAAAGAACAAAAAATACTCAATAAATGCTGTATCAATGAGTGCAGCTTGCAGCCAGCAGTGTTTATTAGTGCAAACAAAAGAAAAGGTATTAAACATGCTGTTCTTGTGATGAGTTACTGTCATTAGAGATAGACTACCCAATTCAAAATGTGAATCTACTGCCAGCAGCAGCCACATTATAGCCCAATAGCAGTGACACAGCATTACATGCAGTGACGCAGCATAAGTCCAATGTAAGCACAAAAGCAGGCCAGCTAGTGTTTTCTCTGGTACTATGTGGTCGACCTTTTTAACCAGTTACTTAAATTCCTCCTTTAGCACCAGGAGATTGCATCAGTAATTTCCATCCACTGTTTGTGCTTCTTGTTATATGGAGTGTAAGTAGCAAGTGCTCCAGTGTTGCTCAGGTGAGTCATTTGTTTAATGTTGGGTTGCACATCATCAGCTGTTAGCATCTCCTCCTTCATAGCCTGGTTGTACTTGATGGTGTGTTTTTGCCTCAAGTTTGTTGTTTCCATCGTCACCAGGAAGCGTTTTCTTGCACATTTTGTAAAGCATCACACTTTGTTAGAGGTTGCTGAAGTAGCTCCCTTTTACAAAATCTTAATCGTGGCAGAAGGCTAGAATATGATTCTGCTGCAACCTTCTTCCTATTAAAAGGGAGTTTTTTTCTTTCCATTCTTGGCAAGTTCAGAGGAGGTTGTCTGATTGTTGGGGTTTTATTGTGAACAATATCTGGCCCAGCCCTAGTCATACATGTGTGGAATATGTAGAAGGGAAGAAATTCCACAAACGGACTTGGACTAAATGCAGAGAAAGAAGCATCTCACCTCACTGCGATGGCCCACCATAGTCTTAAAGCAGTGCTGTGTGTCCAAGTCCCACCACTTGACAAAACTGTCTTTGGAGCTATACGGTGGGCAGAGCACACAATTAGCTTTTCAAACCTCCATTTCAAATATACAATCCAGTAGACGAGACACAATGTAAACATCACGGTGTCCTACCATGTGACGAGGAGGTTCTTGTCTCTCAGGAACAGGGCCTGCGTGATGACATCTTTATGGCCTCTCAGCCTGTACAGCCCACACTCATTGATGATGTCCCACACGATCACATCTGTGTCCTAAGAGAGGAGTAAACAGTTAACTGAGGTGATTCCTTGCAACTCACAGTCCGTCTTGTAAAATAAAAAAGCATTTTTAAAGGCAAAGTAAACCACTCAACAAACAAACCTCCAATTTATCTTCCATTTATATTAACACCTTTATTTTCGTGTAACTGTTGTCACTTTGATGTTGAGTTTAGAAACACGTCAACACTTAACAAAACCAAGGAACAACCTGCCACACTCACCTTTGAGCCAGTAACAAGTCTCGCCCCGAGTGCATCATAGTGTATGACGCTGACTGCAGACTTGTGGCCGTTGAAGGAGACGTTGCTCTCACCGTTCAGCAGGCTGAAGATTCTTACTGCACCATCTTCGTAACCCACGGCAATATGAACTCCATCAGGTGAAGGGCAGAGAAAGGTCACCTCATGTTTCTGACCCTGCAGGATCAGGACCTACACACACAGAGATGACAAGAATAAAGATAAGAACAGATAAAATCTGAAGGGAAGTGTACCTGGATATGAGTTGTCGCATTGCTATAATCACACTTGAACCTCACCTTCTCTCCTTTTCGAACATCCCAGATGAAAACATGTTCACATGCAGCCACAGCCACATAGCGCCCCTTCTCCCCTCCTCGAAGGGTCACATACGTGATGTTGGCTTTTTGGCTGCCAATGACCCCAAAAACGGCGCTGGCAACATAGCGCAGGTACTGCTTGGTCAAACCCATGACCAGCAGCTAAGGTGATGCTGAATCCTGTTTCACACCAGAGCACAGGAGAAAAATTTACTGTGCACACCTTTTACGGAAGAAAAACAGAGACTCAGTGCTTGATTGGCTCCACCTGATTCTACATAATGTCTGAATAAATTTAAGACAAGTTCAGAGTTCAGCATGTTCTGCTAGATATTGAACTCTACATTTTCATGAAGATAATACAGAAAACTGTTTTATTATCTTTATAACACTGTTTGAAAAGTTGAACATTACACCCACATGTTATTAGTTATCATGTCATCCTAAAGTGGCTTTGACGCCTCCTGTGCTAAATGTTCCAATATAGTGTGGGGAAGATCGTGAATAGTTTTTATATGAAAAACCAGTTTCCAGATACAACAGGAGGCATAAACACATAAACACTGCTGTAAACATGAACCATTTTAAACTTTGGTACTAAACCACATTTGCACAATCAGGGCACCCCTCTCTTTTTTAAGGACCTGGCTTTCTGTTTGTGCAACTGTTGGCAAATGTTGCCACAAAAATGGAAACATCGTTGACAATGCATGCTTTCCATCATGACAACAAAGACGAAATACATTGTATATCAAATGTACCCAAGAGTCCACATATTAATAGATATTTACAGCAATAAAATGACGAATCTTTATCTATATAGCATAGTTTAATTTGTGCTGTAATTTGTCCCTGCTATCTAGAATATATAATCTACCACGTATGCGTATTAAATATATCACAGTTTTCAAAAATAAGGTTTTCTGTTTTATACCAGCATAAGACACTACATACTTAATACATGTCTGATCTTAGTATGCTATTCCGTATTAATGAGGTGTAAAGTATTTTCGTATTGTTTATAATGTGTCGAACTACGGCCTTTATTTCTGCAGTGTCGATTCAGTGTTGTTGGTCTATTCCTTCGTTTTATGTCCTTTCCTCATAATTTGCAAATCCTGCTTTAAAATAATACACCAAAAATACGTACTACTTAGTAAACGTGTAGCAAGGTATAGCACATCAGTCCTCGCAGATACGGGTACGTTCGTTTTAGTACACAAAACTACAGGCAGAGTTGCCGGTTTACGCTTCTGGCATTTGACTCAACACGACAACGTCAACCTCCGCCCGCCCGGAGACAAATTTGACCCAAATCGAGTGTGCCTAAGCATGATACTCAGTTACTAGACCCACGTGGTAAAACAATTCTTGGATAATTGTACTTAATAAAAGTAACCATGACATAAATGTATATCTCTAAACGTTATATACAACATTTGCGTTTGTTTCGTCAATGTAAAGCGTCTATGTTGGTCCTCTTACCTTTGAAGTGTGACAATTAGCAACTACCTTGAAGTGCCTGACTTCGGCTGCTGTTTCAGACCCAACCAATCTATCACAAATCGTTACTAAAACAATACCATGCAGTGCTAGTTTGCCTATAAAACTATGCACACAGATACAGTCTATTGGAAATATATATATTTTTAAAATATTTAGATAGGATTTTAGCAGTGAACTGCGAGTCAAAGAAACCTTTCTGTTTCTCTGTTTTCTCGATTGCGCTCTTTCTATTGCTTTTGACTGCAATACCAAAAAAAGACATTTTATACATTTTTGAATGTACAGTCCAAAATAAAATAATATATTAGGTCTTTACAGATACTCGTTTTTGTTTGTTTAATTTTTGGACAGAGACGTCTGGCTTAGAGCCAATGATTTTTGCGGTTTACATCAATAAAGTGACTCCACAGTGATCCCTAAGCAACCATACCGGAAGTGTTTTTTAAGTCAGCTGACTAGCACCGGAAAAATAAAATGATCTCGTGAATAGCACCGGAAAAGTGTTTGTCTAACCTATACAAAACAAAAGCGTGTGCTATTTTAATAGGAGAGTATAGACATGACAGAAAACTATAAAGAACAGAGTAAAAGTACATTAAACATACTCTAAAAAATAGTTGAAAGGTCAGAATAATCATAGTCACATGGCATTGTATTTCGTTTGTAATTCCAACATGTAACACATACATGGGACCGCCACTATAGAGAGAGGGAGAACAGACTTTCACTAACTACTTGATAATGATAAAATTAATGAAACACATAATTAATGGAGTCCTAACTGGCTTTTTCTAAAGGAGGGACTAAAACAGAAGAAATTCTTTAACAAGGTGCATTTGTACACTATTAAAGGAAAGGTATATGTATATGTTTTGGGTGGTTTTTTTAAATGCAGGAGGTCACTCGATTTGTTTAATCCAAGCACCTAGCAGAAACGTTTTTTAATCATCCACAGCACTTTATTAATGAAACTTGAGAAATAAATGTAATAAGTGAGATCAAAAACATGGAAGCAGACACGTTTATGTTCAGAAATTAACGAATTAGGTCAAAGAAAATGGGAAAATGTAGTTGTCATGCTTATATGAAATGTAGTTAAATGAAAACATTTCTAGAAGTTTATTTTGAAATGCCTAACGGGATGTTGATTTCTTTTAATACTCCAGACTTTACGCCGCAACAATCAGCTCTTAGCATGGTTGCTAAATGTGCAAATCCTTGTAATTGGCACTTTGAAACTTACTTTTTGACTGCATTTGCAGTATTTGTGCTTGTTAGTATGAGGACCCTGAGGATGAACATCACGTCTTGATTTTATATGGTGTCGTGTCAAGATTTATTAATTGTTCCTTTTATAATTTTGGCGTGACATCACCCCTGTAAAGGAAATACATTGCTAGGTGGGTAACTGTCTGTTTGGTTTCTGAAACACTCTGACCAAAGTGCACTATTTATCGATTTATAAAGAGACTATTGCTTTTCTGGCCTGACATAGAAATGCTTCGGAAGAGAAAGAAGTTTACCTGGTAAGAGACAGACGATTAATTTCTTGTGACGGATGCTTATCACACATGTGTTTGATTATTTTAATGAAATGCAGCTGTTACAGAGCTAATGGAGTAGTAACATGCCAAATGCCATGTCTTCAAACTGCTTATTTAATTTACAAAAAGTAAGTAAAAGTATCCAATTTGCCACAAATTAACAGCAAGAAAAGCAGCCAATTACAAACAAAAACAGCTCGACCAGCTTACTAAAAATAACTTTCTGCGTTACACCGAACTTATTTAAGGCTTACGAGTTTTGTCGTGCTCATGACATGGTTTTATCTCGAGCTGGGGTTTATATGGTGTTACATGTGTGAACAAAGGGACTACTGTCATACGTGTATTCAATGAAGCGCCCAGCTTTTATCTGGTGATAATGTTATTACATGAGGGTTTCTTGTTGAGTTTGCCGCCGTAAATCAGAGACAGTCTGATATGTGTGTCTGGAATCAGACTGGTGGCAGGTAGTTTGTAAGGTCCGTCTTTACTCCAGGTCGTTATTAGGAATGGGAATCGACAGCTGGTTTTCTACTCTCTAATCCGTAGACCTGCTTCATGACAAACATCTTGACTTTTCATTGCAGGGAAAGCTTATTTGTAATAATGATTCCTGAGTTCAGTAAGTGTTTCAGTAAGCCAGGTTGAAATGTGTGCTGTTAAAACAGCTGGCCGAGCTCAGCAGTGCTGTCTGTCTGACAGTTGTGTATTGCAAACGGTGAGGTTGAACTCAGAGTCACGTGCATATTTTGTACTGTCTGAAGACCCGGAGATAAGTAAAACCTATGTAGGTCACTGACATAGTAAAAATGTGGCTCCATTACAGACTCCTACAGATCAGTTTATTAGATAGATTAACAGGATGCATGTTACATATGTATTTGCATAGAAAAAAATAACATCTCAGTCTTATAGGTTTGAATTTTTAAACACTTCTTTATTCTAAACAGTTTATTTCAGACCTGAATGTATTTTTCATGTGCTAGGTAACTGCTCTGTTAAGTGATCTTATTAGGTCTTCTTGATGATCTAATGTCCTCCTCATAGCCACCAAACAGGTCTCTGGAGGCCAGAGCCACCTCCAGGAGACTGGAACACCCTTGAACTGGGTTTTGCACAAAGATCCAATACTTGAAAAATGTTTAACAAAATCATAGGTTTTGTTTTTACCCTTCAAGCTTTCAAAGATAATGTCATTTTTGCCAGTTCTCCCTGCCTGCACCTTTCTGTGTTCTCCTTGTGTTTGTGTGGGTGCTCCAGCTTCCTCCCCGAGTCATTTATGGGGTTAAGGCCAATCAGTGATCCTAACGTGGCCATAAATGTGAACATAAATGGGTTGTCAGGTTTTCTGTGTAGCTTTGCAACATACTGGTGACCTGTGGCCCGATCACAGCTAGGATAGACTGATTACCTGTGAAAATAAACCAAAATGCAGATCTTCTCAAAAGCACAGCAAACGAGCACTGTTCATTTCCACAATCATCTAGATTTTTATTTTATTTTTTTGTCTGTCAAAGCCACAGGGAGACACTGGAAATAGGCAAATGACTTTATCTTGTACTTGCAGCCCAGCTAGTTGGTGATCCTCTCGAGGCTTGTAGTGCCAGATGGGGATGGATCCTCTGGGTGCTCGCTCCCAGTTTGTGGATATCCAGACTCTTCCCACATGGCAGCAGCAGCTGGACAATGATGGCGAGGAGAAACGGCTGGTCCGGAGCCACAGCATGCTCAGCCAGAGTTTCCCCTCACCCTTCCCCTACAGACCAGATATCAACCGCAAGATCATCCTCTTGTGAGTCACGCTGTTTCTTCACATTGTTGCTGCTCTGTAGAAATCTGTCTTTTTCATAAGAGGTCACAACGTCAGCCACGGTTTCTTCCTACACATTTAGACACAGAATCATATAGTCATTCAAGCAAAAATGTCACAATGAAATAACTAAAGTTTGAAAGTATATTTAACTTGTAGCTTTAACTGGTTTTGGTGGTCTATATGATGTATTTTTTGTAACTATGTCATACTAAATTTCTTCTTTTTTTAACATCTGCTCTTTGCAGTAAGATACAGCTGCTGTGTGTGTCATTGCTTTTGTGAAAGTGACCAATCATACCGAAACCATCAGTAAATCAGATCAATGCCCACAAAAGTTTCACTTTTTACCTGTCAGAGTGTGTATTCCCGCCCACCTTAACCAAAGAGAACCCAACTCACAGTGGTTGACTTTGAGCACTTGGCTGCTTAATCTAAACACACTTTTGGATGCATATCTGTGTATTCTGGTAATCGCTATCAATCATCTGTCATTTAAGCAAAGTGTGTGATCCTAGATACATCCTAAAAAAGGGCAGTAATATTAATGTATTGATATTAGCAGTATCATATAGTAGTAGTAGTAAATGCTGCTTGTGTGTCCATGTGCTCATACAAACCTGTTCAGAGTCCATAACCTCGTAAATCTTCTTTGTAGAGAAACGCATGACTATGTGGAGCCCGACTTGGCAGCAGTTTTTCTTTAGGAGCCTTGTTGTGGTGCCAGCCTTCCCCTGAGCAGTCATCAAGAGCACGCACATTCCTGCCACAATAGCATGACCAGGATTTGAGCGCAATTGACCCTCGAGCAGTGGTGCTTTTAAACCTTCCAGCAGCTAGAATTACAAAGGGGTCTATTTTTGAGCTAATATCAGAGGTTCCATATGACTACAGCTTAGATTTTCATTCTTTCACTACTTTTTCAAACTTACTTTTAAACCCATGGTGGTTAAAAAGTAAAGTTCAAGCAAGGTATCTGAAGGTATTGAAAGTCTTAATAGTGTCTCATTAAATAGATAAAGAGCTGTTGGCTCATTTCTTTTGACAGAAAGTCATTTATAGAGTAATTAAGAAAAAAATATTCTATTTTATTTACTTTATGGTTGTTTTAAATGTCAGAGTCAATGTCATTGGACCTCAAAGCATCATCACACTGAAGTTCTTCACAGAATCTTGTAGCAATGTTACTCTTCCTGTAAGTAATGTTTGTTGATTTATGTGATAGTCATGATATAACTCTGTCAATGTGTTGCTATTTTTATTGTTTTAAAATGAACTTGTGCTTTTCGTGGATACTCTGATAGCGCACACCTGGTACTATATGTTGTTAAATGACTTTGTTCATAAATGGGGAGAGGACGTTTCATTAGTTTGGGATATATCTGCTCTACGACTTAATACAGAAGCTAGCATTTGACAAAACAGGAACAGGGGATTTGCACGAGATCTGTTTCACTGTTGTTTGCAGGCATCCTGCTTGACTTGATTTGGTGACTCATCTGTAATTGAGCTAGGAGGAATGAGCTGAACAAAAAAAAAATACACAACTCTTCCTCCGTGGTCCTGGTTGCTGAATATGTCTTGTGATCAAACACTGTCAACACATGCATTTCCTCATTGTTTTTTCCTAACACAACCTGAAGGGCTTCTGAACAAAGAGTTGACTTCAGGTATTAAAATAAGCATTAAAGTTTCGCCAAATGTCTTCAAGGTCTAAATGTTTGCAGTATGTTTGATCCGTCGGTCACTGTTACTGTTAGAGGTAAAGAAAAAGTCTTTGGTTACCACTGTGCTGTGACTGGGGCCTGGTGATGACTGTCAATAAAAGTCACAAAAAGCAACTTGGATAATGAACATCAGTAGAAGTTCAATTGGGTGTTGAAATGTTCGGACAGTGGCACAGTTTTCATAATTTTAACTCTCTGTGTCAACACAATAGTTTTTAAAATGCAACAATAAAGTGCAGATTTTTAGCTTCTATTTCCAAGTGACTGTGCAAAAACATCATTCTCACAGTACTCAAATGGATGAGTTACCCAAATAATACTTTTTAAAAAACCCAGTGAATTAGTTTTTTCTTTTTGTTCTTTGTAAAAAGTTTCAAACCCACAGACATTACCAAATAGCAGATTTCCTCTTTCTGATCCTTTGATGTTGGCACCTCTGGAGCCTGTAGCGTGAAACACTTTCAACATACCCAGGATATCTTTGTTTCACTTATACTAATTCAGACCAAAAACAACGATAGACTAGCCTTCTGTTTAACCATGTAGCTACAACGGTGTTCCCAAAAGGGGTGATGTTGGAAACGTATGATGACTCAAACATGATTGTCCATACAAAATATTGTTAGAGAGAGATGAGATTAAAAATATAATGCATGCTATAGTCCAGTATACCTGCTCCAGTTAATGTGTATGTGTAGGACATACATACTGTACGGTGCTTTTATCCGATATTCATAAAAGAAACCCTTCAGTGAATGTGGGCACATTAAACACTTTGACTGAAAATGCGTTACGTTATAAAAGTTTTCTTCAGCCGCATGAATTGAAGCTCAAAGTTTGCATTTAGATTGCATCTTTATTGTTTCATTGTAAATCTGCTGTAGCTGCATACAGCATCAAACTATTCAAAAATTGCGTCCTTGTCCAAAACATTTCCACACCTAGAAAATACAGAATAACAAACTCATACAAAACATTGTTTTATGGCAAAAAAACCTTTACAACATCTTTGGCAAAATGACATCACAACGGTTTTTTTTATACGCCATATCATTCGTATTTACTCTGTATAGTTTTAATAGATTGTTTTTCTTTCCCCACAGTGTTGGTGACATTGCTCTGCTGAATTGCACCGCCGTCGTGAACACCAGCAACGAGTCGCTAAACGACAAGAACCCCACGTCTGACAGCATCCATCAGCTGGCAGGACCCGAGCTCCGAGACGAGCTGCTTAAACTCAAAGGTAGACATGGAAGGTTAAACTGCTGAAATGAGCTTGATTTCACTTTGGTCTTCTCAGAGATATCACTGGGAGTGTTAAATATAACCAGTCACCTGATATCACGCTGGCACTACCGCTGGCACTTTAATACAGAGTAACTTTTATCAAGTCTCTACAGCTGCTGAAAGTACTGATAACACACAAATAAGTATGTTCTGGCTTCTGTTCTGACAGGAGCCCAGTTTTCACTGGAACTACTTTCTGCAGAATTGCTTCCAGTAATATGCTTTGAACTTTGAGCTCCAATTTCAAGGAACAAATACAGATGTTCTTGAACCCTGCAAAGATGTCTGGGTTTGTTATTCAATCATCTGCATCACTGTGGATGTGTGACAGTGTTTTTGAGATTGGCTTTTCAGACGTCCCAAGTACAAAAAAAGGTCTAGTTACTGGTTTTTACCCCGACACACTGGAAGTGTCTTTTCATCAAAAAACGTCACCTAAAAATATCTACATTATTATATATATATATATATTGATGCTTTAAGATGCAGTATTTGAAGAAGCTGGTGCTCAAAATAAAAACCTCTGTGTGGTTAGCATACCAGAAAATTTAATCAGCAAATTTAATTGTCAAAAGAAAACAGTTTTCCCTTTCATGAACTCAGTTGTCAGCTCTCTGATTCACATGTGTATTTGCTGGATCAACAGTCATGAGAGTTTATTTTTAACATGTAATAATAAATATAATAATCTTTTTGTGTGTTTGTGTCCAGGATGTCGCACCGGGGAGGCAAAGCTGACCAAGGGCTTCAACCTAGCAGCGCGGTTCATCATCCACACCGTGGGGCCAAAGTACAAAGCCAAATACAGGACGGCAGCAGAGAGTTCACTATACAGCTGCTACAGAAACATCATGCAGCTGGCTGCGTAAGAATCAGCAACTTATAATTCAGCCCACGTGCTAAACTTGGCAGTAATCGGACTTTCACAAATTTCATCTGTTTCATTCTCTGTCAGAAAGCACCAGCAAACAGTCACTGAATGAAAGTGACTGAGCTTTCCAGCTTTTCAGATTACAGAAACACTGATTTTAGAAAAGTTGGATCTGTTTTAAAAGTTGATGGAAAAACATTAAATCCATCTGTAAAATATGAACTCATTGGATAAATTAAAAACAACCCCCCCCAAAAAACAGTGTTTCAGATTAAAATCCACAATTTCCTAATCAATATTTCACAGACCAGATTGTGCCGTTTCTGTCCTGATCTACTTGGTGATATAGATGTTTGCAGTATATGATGAAGTGGAGAGAGCAATGATGATGATTTAAGGGAGAAGGCTGAACCCACTAAGACATAAAAAAGAAAGGAAAAAGTCAGACTGGCAAAATTTAAATAGTAGTACTCGAGGTCAAAGGAGCTTGCAAAGTGTGAAACTGGCTGATTGGGACCCACACCCAGTTTCACACCTTGGCTCAGGCGATTAGAGGATCATCAGGGGGTCCTTTTGTCCCTCTGTGGGGGTCACTCCCACTAGGTTTATATCTGGGACTCTCCACCATTTGACCTTAGAACTGAAGAAGCTTCTCGGATGAGAGGTGAAACGTCTTCAAGTAACTTAAAGAAGTCCAGACGCTTTTCTTTGCAAGCTCCTTTGACTACAATGACCTGGATGACTGAGAACCTTCACAGACGTAGTACTGGAGGTATTTAGTGTTTTGTTTTTACCCCTCAGCTGTAAAAAGGCTGGTCAGAGATTGTTGTCACGCCTCCCTCAGGTGGGCAGGCAGCATGGACACCTGAGTTTGTGAATGCGATAAATCCAGAACATGGCAGGAGTTTTAAATGAATACCATACATGTATGTACTAAGAATCTTGGGGAAATTTGAATCTCAAACTCAAGGTCAGAGGACAAGTTTTCTGAAAATCTTGCAAATGCGATAACTCGCGTAGGTCACCTAGGACTTTCGAATTGATATAATAGGTTTGTCTACTAGAAAACTGAGGGGAAGCACTGACGGCTGCCAGCATTTTCTTTACATGGAATTACATTTTTACCTCCATCAAGGATGTTATGTTTTTGGTAGTGTCATTCTGTTTATAAACACAACAGCTCAGTAAGTTCTGGATGAACTCTGAAAACTTTGTAGGTGTGTAGAGTGGGGTCCATAATAATCCCTTCAAATTTGTCTTAAATTTGTCTCCACCAAGATCTTCAAGGTCAACTCAATGACTTATTAGTCAAAAACTGATGAAAAGCCTGAGAACTTCAAAACTACGATTGTTACAAGTTGGTGTGTATTGTCAGCATATAGAAAGTGCCATATGAAGGTTTAAAATATCATGTCACATTTGACCTCTGACCTTTCTTCAAGGTCAATAGAGGGATCTGAAGGTGCTATATTGAACCATTGTTTGTATTGACAACATGTAGACATATTGGGAATGATGTATGTCACATTTGACATTGTATAGTCAGTGTGTACTGTAGATGTGATGTGCAGTATGTGAGACTGTATTTCTTCATTTTTCACCACAGAGAGCAGTCAATGGCATCAGTTGGCTTCTGTGTGGTGACCACAATCAAAAGAGGTTATCCTCCGGAGGATGCAACACACATTGCTTTGAGTAAGACACACAGACACACACAGGTTTTTATTGGAGTGACACTTTAGTCATATTTTCTTATTTTTTTATCTCTCTTTGTAAGTTTATTGGTGCAGCCCTCCACCAAAATCCCGATTTCTCATGTGACCCCTTTGGAAAATTGAACTCCCCAAGCTTGTAATCGGCCCAAATTCAAAACAGTGGAATTTAATCTAAGAGGTTAGATTGCCACCCTGAAATCACTCAGATCCACTCAAACAGAAGTCTTACTCACCTCTGGAGTTAAAGCTACTACTGGCTGTAAAATAACCACAAAACCTGAACTGAATGTAAGACCGGATATACACGGGGCATAGTTGAGTGTATTAGTTCAGTGAACGCCCAAAGAGAACCATATGTGGCAAATATTCTGCTTGTTTGCAAAATGTTTGTTCAGGTTTGTTCACTTAAATACACGACTACAGGTCCACACCACAGAAAAGGACGCATCTCAGTTGGTTTCATCCTCTTCTTAGTCTTAGAAAAATTGCAGTTCTCTGTAAACTACAGATTTGCTGTTATTTGTCTGTGTTATCTTGTAACAAACCAAAACAAATGTGTTTGTAGGGACAGTGCGGCGGTTCTTGGAGAATCATGGAAACAGCATAGAAACGGTGGTGTTTGCGGTTTCAGACACAGAGGAGGTTTGTGTGACTTCTTGTCTTTAGTTTAGACCAACAGGAAACACTGAACCTGCATGTTCCTCTTATTTAAAACCAGCTGTATTAAGTTAGCCATGTGCATATTAATCACTAATAGATATATATTCATATTTGTGCTCTTTCAGTCTGTGTTCAAGAAGTTACTCCCTCTGTACTACCCACGCTCTGAGGGAGAAGAAAAGGCTTGCCTACCTCTCATCCCAGCTGACATCGGCAATTCTGAGGGTGAACCAGTGGTTCCAGAAAGACGGATCCGCATCACAGAGAAACCAGGAAGCATTGAAGGTGCAGCCTTCTTCTTTTTTTCTTTTTTTTTTTTCTCAATAATGTGATGAACAATTTCCTGAAATCGGAAAGGGACACACAACATGCTTCACTTTCATTTCAGTCGAAAAGAAACAAAACATTTCTTCCCTGTAGTTTGAATTTGTAGAATAAAAGCTTTTCTTTTCACTTGAAAGACTTAATTGTCAAGTTGAAATAGTCTGACCGAGCAGTCAGCCGTTTGGCTTTTTAGGCTGTCAGCCATTCATGTTGTTTGTCACTCACTCACCAACGGAACCATAAAACATCTGAGCTCAATCATTAAATACAGTGTGAAGATGACACTGGATAATGATTAACTTAGAGCTCAGGTTGTTTTTGTGAGTCAGTCAGACTGCATCTGCCTTCAGGCTCCTGAAGTGTCAGGACATGATTGTTTTATTTGTAGTAAAGCACTGACAGGACATGAGAAGTATCGCAGACAGATTTTAACCAACATAATGCCTCGTCACAATGATTGTCTCAAAGCCCTTGAACAAAAGTGTTCTCCTAAAAGAAAGAGTTTGATGTGATCAGCACACGACTATCAAACAAAGGAAGATTCGAGAAACTTTCAGAATTCTAAATAGGGAAACTGTTTTGAAGCACATCAAAGCTTTTCTAGTCTCCCAACATTTGTATTTGTCCTCTAGCTAAATGCAGACCAAGTAGTCTTTATTGAAAGTAATCGAGGCCCAACAGTTCTGTAGAAATAGCAAAATAATAAAAACACAAAGGACAAACAGAAATTTTGAGTTTTTAAACCCTCCACATAAACTGGATTTTGTATGACCTCTTTAGTTTACCTCAGCTAAGCCTTTGCTTGCACCCTAAATGTTAGGTTTTGGTGAAGAGGCCTGTGAAAGTAACACCAGCCCATGTGTTAGTGAGTGTTTGTGGTTTCCATTTTGAGCCTCTTGCCTCCATTGACCTCAAGTGTGGTGCCTGCTGGCCTGATGCTTCAAAGCATCGACATGTGGCTTTGGGGTGTTGATCCAAAGCAAGCAGGCTGCCTGCGAGTGAAACCCAATAACAACAGGCTGATGTATACACACTGACAGATGCACATGTCCGTTTGGATGTTGATAAAATGCACAGACATGCATGCAGCAGTGCATGTGGTCTTGGAGAAACAAGGAATGAAACAGACTTGAACCCGAGCCTGGAATCTGTCAGCTGAGTTTATGACTTCATAGCAGCGCTTTCACACACGTGTAACGGCATCCTTGCAGATGAATTGGAATCTGTGTAATAAAATAAATACGGACAAACAAGCAAACCCATGAGAATGTTGCTGCATTTATAATTTGCTAAAACTTGTACACAGATAGTGTTTTGAGGGGAAACGATCGTTTAAAAAAGCCAGAGTTAACTGGATTAATTATTTTTTGTAAGTAGTATCGGATACAAGTTCAGCATTTCATTACGATGTCTTATCTGTTGGCTTGTCTAGATGAATGTGAAGAGGACAGCCTGGAGTTGGATCTGGGTCAGGTTGGGACTCACGCCTTCGCCCGGATGGAGGGCGACGTAGACAAACAGCGGAAACTGATTTTACAGGGACAGATGTCTGAGGCAGCCATGCAGAAGCAACACCAGAGAAAGTAAGAGTCCAAGCAAACTGTGAGATAACTCGATGATGCTTTCAAATGTTTTTCTTTAAATAAATGTAATAACATAATACTTCAAGTGTTTTCCACTTGTATTAACATTGACGTTGCCTGTATTAAAGTTTTCACGTGCAAAATCAAGTGCAGTATTTTCTTCAGTTACTAAACTGTAAATAAGTACAATTTGAATTACTCTATTTATGAAGTATTTCTATCTAATGCTGTTTCAGTTTGCACTGTAAGTGTTTGTCACTTAAAATTTTACTGAAACATTTCTGAACGGCTACGTTTTGGCTGCTTTCATGATCACACTTAAAGTTCTTTTTAGTTTTTTTGGGGTTTTTTTTTATAGGTTTTTAGTAGATGTTTTGGCAGTAATTTACAGAGGCAGTAGTTATAGCATGTGTGTAACCGCTAATTGTTCCATATATTTAAGATACTCTTTCTGTTTTAATCCTGCAGCTACGGTCGCTGGCTGTGTCGAGCGAGAGCAGAGGACCTGTCAGACATCGCCGCGCTGAAAGCGTTGTACCAGACTGGTAGGTGTTTGAGCATGGGACGTGCATATTAGATCTTTGAAGGAGTCTTTCAACGTCTGAATGTAGATCTGAAACAAAACCAGGAACCAAAAGACAGTTTTCAGACATGTGTATTGTAAGGGTGCTCGCCTGAGAGTTTCTGTTTCGCCTCTGCATGAAGAGCGAAGGCAATTCATCCTCTCTAAGGCACAATTGACTGTCATCACCAGTAGGAGGCAGTGTTGTTGCACACAGTCCAGGACGAGGTTGAGCACCAATTAGCTCAGCCGATGTCAAGTGAGGCAAAGGTTGAACCTATTTGAACTTTCAGGCCGTGTTTTGAGGTGGGTACATTTAAGCTTTAACATTAAATATATAGTTTTAAATTAAAGAATATTTAATTTAAAACTATATATTTAATGTATTTTACTTGTATCACAAGAAAAGTCTTTCCAAAAAAAATGTTCTTTATGTTGTTGACTGTCTTAGGGAAATATGCAAAAGAAACATTTTACATTTTGTAGTGATGCTACACAAGTAGAAGGTCTGTATGCATTCAAGTAAGAAACAAAGGCTGTCATACAGCCACTAATGCACATTACAGTTGGAGTGTTTTATCCAAAAGTCAGCTTTCCAAATCACTGCAGATTACAAGCGAAAAGTCCAGATCATAGTCACAGACACAGAGGCTGAACTGCTGGAAAACTATTACTCAGTGTTGGCCTCATCTGTAGGCAGAGGGCCAAACACAGACTGTATCTCCACACTTCTCACTTACTACATCTGCAGCTCTGTTTCAATACTGTGATACTATATTTAAATTAATACAAAATTGCAGGGTCTGAGTGTCTTTACACTTTACTGTGTATTTGTCCAGGCGTGGATATATGTGGCAGGACGGTGATGGTCGTGGTTGGACGAAACATCCCCGTGACCCTCATTGACCTTGAGAAGGTAACGTGTGCCAGTATGTCAAAGTGAAGCACTTTTAGTGATCTTAGTCATGTCGGACCTCACCGTAACAGATGGTGCAGATTTATTTTTTTGTGTACTCGTAATAATGCAATACGTGTGAGCAAGCACAGGTCACATTGATCTGCTTTTAACCTTGTTCACTGCACGTTTGATTTTACTCCTCAGTACCTGTTGCAAAATGCAATATATCTGTTTTTAAATAGGAAAAGCTGCAACTATAAAAGAAAATGTATCAGATGTGGGTGATCTGGTTTTTAACAGAACTGTAAGTAAATAAATACTCACAGTAATCCTGTGTCTTTGTTTCCTCTGCCCGTGTGCTGTAGGCGCTGTTGTACTTCATCCATGTAATGGACCACATCACAGTGAAGGAGTATGTTATGGTTTACTTTCACACGCTGACCGGAGAGCATAACCATCTGGACACCGACTTCCTGAAGAAACTCTACGACATCGTTGACGTCAAGTCAGTCTGACATTTTAATCACCTGATTACACTGAGCCTGTGGCTAATCTAAACCTTGAGCTGAAGGCATGACTGCAATTTTAAGTATTTGCCTTCCATCTTTTAAATTAAAACATGTCAAGTATATTGGAAAACCAACATTAAATCAGATATGAAGTGGAAGAGAACATTGAATAGATAAGGCATTAACTTAGTTCCAGTTTTTGTCTTATTCCTCTGGCATTGAGTCACTGAGTAAGAACAGTCTGCTTCAGCTTTCCATCCAGAACTGTTGTCATCTGGGTTTACAATATATGTTTAAAGTAGAATTAGATTTGGCTGACATTGTTGGCCAACTACTTCTCCAGTCTTAACTAACCAAAACTTAAAAAAGAATCAGACAGAGAGAGGTTGTGTAAAAAAGACGGTCTTTGGGAATTCCCCTCTCATTCACTCCTTTTCTCTCTCAAAGGCCATGACGATACTATGATTGAGTCATTATAGTAGCCGCTTTCATATTTTCTTCCATGCAGCATAGTGCTTACTGGATTTTAAATCAATCTAACGGTCATTTTGTATCAACATGACAAAGGGTCCACTTTTCGAACTAAATCAAGGTGTTTAACATTTTGTATATTAGGTCATACAAACATTTAGAGTTGACTTTCATTTGACCTATTTGGTGTTCGTTGGCTCTTGCTCTTAGCCTCTGCAGCTGCATTAAAGTTGAGAAACATTGGTCGTGCCACAGTACGATACCACCAAGGTTACAGTGTTTAGATGATTGGAAAAGCCAAACAAGCTGTGAAACACATTTGTTTCATTGTTGGCGTTGGCGCGAAGTCTCGCGGTGACTTGAGGCCAAGCAACTTGGCTCTGACTTGGCCTCAAAGAGTTCAAACGAGTTCTAAACTGAGACCGGATAAACCTTTCAAAGACAGCGCTCTGAAAAGTTGTTGTCAGACATGACTTTGTGATAACTGAGGTTGCAGAATGGATTTGGACCTGAATCGGTCATTCTGTTGAGCAATGACGTGTCCATTGTGTACCATCACATTGGAACTCGATACACATGGAGGCAGATGCTGTTTGATCTCTTTGAGATCTCCTGAAAAGTTCACCATTTATGAATATTTTCGTCGTGCTTAATCGTAGCCACATCTTCCAAATGGAAACCAGAAAGATCTAGACTTCTATTCAGAGATCAGAGTAGACCTACAGCTTCACTGTTCTGAAGTGACTCCTCTATCCACGCAGACTCCCCTGTTTGTGAATGTTATGTGTCCAAAATTAATAAAGACAGACATGAGTGGTCATACAGTAGATATTATTAGAGTTAGGTTTAAGTGTACGTCTTAATCATCCTACTACTACTGATTTAAAACTAGCACTTGAAACTAGATTAAACAAATTTCTAGTGTCCATAAACATCAACACACACATGAAACCCACACAATATCTAAACGTAACTGGAAAAAAAGAAGGGGTTGAAATTTTGTTAACTGGAAGCCACCAAAGGAAAAACCTAGAGAAACTCAGGTACTCGGTGGGTAGGAGAAGCGTTTATAGTTGTCATCTCTTTTTAGTTTTGGTTACTAGAAACCAAACTTGCTTCCTGTGTCAGTGGGAAACTCCATGCAGTCAAGACGTACCTTTCCACGCTTGTCTTTCTCAGGTTTCATTGCTTTCTTACTGTCTATTCTGTCGGTTTCACAACACCTTTCTTAACCTTCATAAAGAAAACTGAAACTGTAGCACATTCCTGATGTTTATCCTTTATGTTGTGTGATAAATTTACCCTAAGGGTGTCAGATGCAGGTTACGTGATATATTTCAGTGAGGCAGGAAAAGGGAATTTAAAAAAAAGCAAACCTTGCTTTCACAGAGTCTTTAAATGCGAATGAAGACGCCTTCATTCAGCTTCCCCTTTCATCGGAACAGGAAACCCCCATTCAGTCATAAGTGACGAGGGCGAACGTTTGTGTTCTGCTGATTCATCAGTGCAGCCTTAAAATGTTAGGGATGTTTAGGCTCCACCACCTCTGCAAACTTTTAGCTGGACCTAACGAAACCCAGACAACAGTCTGCCCTCTACTAAAGGCTCATTTAATGTGAAACAAAAAACGCTGAGGTTATCTGTTTGCTTGTACACTTTCTGACTTGGATATTGTACTTTGGCTGCAGTAGAAAATGATGACTGCTAACAAGTTTGTCATTTAGCAGGGGCGTGGGTCTGGCAGAGCTCTGTGTTTAAAGCACAAGAACTGTGCTGCCTGTCAGTCACAGAGACAATCAAAGCCTTTTTTCAGGGAACTTTGTGTCCTCATTCTTCTGCAGGGCGAGGAACACACGCACATCACGTTCAGGGATCACTTTACTTCTAAACAGTTACAGTTTCTGTTCTAGCTGTTTTCATTTAGGAGTATTTTTCTTTCTCTGCAACATTTCTCAAGCAGTTGCTTTGTTTTGGGGTTTTTTGGTTTGGCATCGTGATATTGAACCCTGGTCTGGCTATTTGGCTATTGATTGACTGCAGATGCATGTTAGCTTCAAATTACCTAACCAACAGACTCTCGCCAGATTGAACATATCCACAGTTTTGGAAGCGTATATGTTGTCTGCATTTAGCAGGAGACCGATGGACTCGAGAGTGATTATTTTTAAATATCCTCGGGTCCGGCTCTGGACCAGTGCAGAAGGCCACAAGTCACGGTTTTGTACGTTTGAATTATTTGGATAACTAAAAGTTCCTGTGTGTTCCTCTGATGGACAAATGTTTTGGTTTTTCTTAACACAAGCAAATTTAGTATGGATGGAAGTTCAGGTCGGCACTATTTCCAGAGTTTTCCAGAATGCAAGAACTTTTTGGCAGCATCCAAAGGGGCCGGGGTTAAAGGGAAAGAGCTTACTATTATTATTTAATTTATGTGTTTTATTTTAAGAGTAAAGTGGAAATGTTGAGTGTAAAGTTAAAGTGCATGGACTGTGTGGACAAACGTGTTCTCTCTGGATAAATCTGAATCTGAACCTCACCCTGAAGACTCAACATCTGTGTGTGATGGTTGATTCCTACAATATCAAGAAGAACTTCCAGATGCAGCACATTAATTAAAAATATCATCTGAATTAGTGAATATCAGAAATACGAGGAATTTGGCTCTAAACACATGTAACTAGTAACTGACCCACAGTTTTAGTTGGCGCTCTCTTACTCTGGGATATACCCCTGATTTGTTTGTTAGTCTCACAGTCTGTTTGTTTGCTTCTGTCTTGAAAACAGAGATGCGGGAGTTGACTCCAGCAACTTAGGAATGGCAGACATAACAGGCTTATACCGGTTTGGTAACCTCAAGTTTACATGTCATGTTTTTGCCAGTGATGTGGCTCTGTTGCTTCATTGGAGCATGGTCTGTAGTTAAATAATGGTGATTGAAATTGAGTTCCTCCCAAATGTAGATGCCTCTCGGGCCCCTCTTCCATCAGGGAGAGTTGGTTGCGTGAGACTGACAGACTGGTGAGCCATCTGTGGTTTTGGCTGCTTTGACTGAGCTTCAGATACGAGTAGATGGAGACAAGTGTCTAAAATTAGCTTCCTTCTGTAGACAGTTTGGCACAGTTTTATGGCTAAAGTTGTCTGATCAAAGCAGCGTAAAGCAGCATTGTAGTATGACAGCTGCTGTAGCTGACACTGTCGATTACCGGTAATTGTCTAATTACCTGTCTGTTCAATCAAATAAATAACCAAGCACTGGAAAAACATTTGGCACTTCCATGTGGTAAATGTGTCCATGCTAATGTACAGGATGGAGCTGATTGTAAAGTGGTGTTTTTGTGGGACAGTAAATGTGTGGCTTTGGAAACGGCCACAGAAACATTGTGTCTCCTCTTTCAGAACATCAATCATTTTCATTTCATAATACAGGTTTTTTTAATTTTATGTTTGATTTCCAGAATAATGAGTCATAGGGTTGCTGAGAAGTATTATTCCACTAATGTTCTGCTTTATTTCTTGCAGGTATAAAAAAAATTTGATGGCTTTCTACTTTGTACATCCAACATTCCGCTTGAAGGTAAGGGATGGTTTTATTTACAGTTTCTGCAAAGCTTATTTAATATACAGGCCTGTGTAAAACATTTATATTTCAGTTGATAATGTATAAATGTATGAAAACAAACCTTGTCTGTGTTGTTTATTGTATTTCAGATGATTTTGATCAAGTTTTTATCCTTTTTTTGTAAGAAAAAGAGTGAGCACAAGACATTTAAAAAGCCATATTTATACATTTAAGATTAAAATGCTGTGCCTTACACCCTTCAGTGGAAACTTATTTCCACTGCTTGCCTCATTCTTTTGTTCACTAGCCGGAGCTCGTGACCACAGGTGATAGTAAGAATCTAGACTGACCTGTAGATTGATAGCGTTGCTTTCATGCTCAGCTCTTTCTTCACTACAGCACACCGACACATACGCACCAGTCTGCCTGTCAGTCTCCTGCTCCCCTCACCCCTCATTCACAAACAACACCATGAGATGCTTAAACTCCTCCACTTGGATCAGCAACTCATCCTGACACAAAGTTGGGACTCCACCGTTTTGCCGTCAAAAAAAACATGGCCTCAGATTTGGAGATTTGTGCTAGTTTTCATCCCAGCTGCAAACCACTAAAGTGCAAGCTCGAGGTCACTGCCTCAGAACCACACATCTGTAAAAGGCAGACAACCAGGAGCGTTTTGCTTTTCTTATTAATCTAAGTCCTTACATTCCTACCACACTGATCCAGAAAATATTTTCCTCTTTAGGTAACTTCTGGTTTATCTGGTTTCTTGATAACTTTTTCTTTATTCATTAAAGTTCAGTCTTGCTCAGTTTTCTGTTTTTGTTGTGTTCAGTTATTCTTTGATTATTGCATGACTGGTGTCCTGGCAATGTAAAATCAAGCTTGAATGTTTTTAAAAACTGATGAACGGTTCTTTACACACATCCATTCTCTTTCTTCACTTGTCTCAATCAAGGTTTCAACATGGTTCTTCACCACTTTCAGTGTATCTGGCATGAAGGAAAAGGTCCGCTACCTCGACAATCTGCAACAGCTCTTCACCTGCATCAAGCCTGAGCAGCTCGATATCCCTCCATTTGTCTTGGAGTACGATGCACGAGTAAGAACACAATAACAGAGAGATCCATAACTCAGTCCTATGTTGTTTGCACATGATCCACGGATATCTTTCAAAGTGATTTGAATCATTTTGGAAAGGTAACTGCTAAAATACATAAAGGATTTGATAAAGCTCTCAAAACTAGCCCAAACGTTTGTTCCAAAAACCCCACACAGGTTGGAACTATTTATTTTAACATAATCAAGCTGACGTCCATCCAATTATTGCTCATCTAATTAGCTCTCCTTCACCAGCAGCAATGCATCTGAAGTATAAAGCAGCAGGTGTTCTGCCTTTGCCACACAGTATGTTATTGCAGATGGATAGAGCTACATTAACCTAGTAGAAATGAATGGTGTAAATCAGCCACTGAGTAATGCTGAAGGTTTTTTGTTTTGTTTTTTCATCCTGCTACCTTGTTGTGGCTAACTGCACGGAAGGTCAACCATTAAATAGACAGGAAATGAAAGCACATCAGATAATGTTGTAGGCTGATTCACTCAGCGGTGGGAGCTCAACGATTTGCAGAGGTTCAGAAGTGACATTCAGTTATTATTTTCCCTAATTATTCTTATTTTTACTACCTGCCTACCTAATGTGATATTAGAACAGAGTGTTTTAATACTGGAAAGTGGTTCAGCTTTTGCCACTTTAAAAACTTTTTAACATTTTATAGTTTAGCCATATGTGGTTATAGTCTGACCATTACTAAAGTACTTTGTAAAACATCTAATTTGGGCCAGTTTTTCTTTTTTTTTTAGCTTTCTGACTTTACTGTGACAGGCAAAGTATGTCAGTTGGGTGCAGCTGTGGTAACCCCTCCGCCTTCCTCTGTAAGAGTTAGGGTTCATTTGAAGTAGTGGCTAGAAATTCTAATGTAGACACCAGAAAGTTGGTCCCACTTTCTCTAGATGACTAAAATATAGCTCAGGTGCTGAAGCATGTGGTTTAAAGTTACAAGCGACCTGCCAAAATAATTTGATGTGTCAGAAACATCTGGAAGTTGCAGCAGATTATCCCAGTTAATATATCTTAACTTGGAAAATATGTCACTACATTTGGAGCGCTGATGTTTGGAGCCAGTAACTGACTTCCTTTGATAAATTAGAGTTTGTTTGTCTCCACCTCCCTGTAAGCATCGGTTTTGCATTTTCAGATGCCGAAGGACGGACCGTAACCCTGTTTAGCCTCACGTCAGCTCTCTGGCTGATGGTGTTTTAGTAGAAATATTTAGGTAGGCTATGTTCCTGTTGATGTCTCGAATAAACCTGAAATCACACAAACCTTTGTGTGTTTCTATTCACGTTCTTTTTTCATCAGTTGTATTTGAGGGATCAACAGACGAGACAAATCTCTAGACTTTCCCTTTTCTATTCTCCTCTTCCTGATGTAAACCAGAGACGGTGGAAATGATTTCTGTTGTTCTTTGTCTTTTATTTTCATCTCCAGGTTTAATTTCACCTGTTAAACCGTTGACTATAACCTCAATTAA